AATACTTTAATGTATTGGTCTTTTTACAATATATTAAATTAACGAAATTTAAAAATAGACCGTCATAGTGAAAATTCTGGTTTAAATAAAAGATAAATCCACCGTAATACATAATTCAAATTCTAACTTATTACCTGGAGCGAAAATATCGACACAAGTTCCATAATTCGAGAAACTTGCCATAGCAGCTGAATTATCAGTAGCTCCAACTGCTATGCAATTAGGTGCTGACGATGGTGAATAGTTACAGGCATCGTCTGCAGAATTTCCAGCAGCAGTAACGACATGCATACCTTGATTTATGCATTGTTGAACCGCGTCATTAAGAGATGATGAAGTGCCACCACTTAATGACAAACTATAAAAATAGATTAATTAGTAAAATATCTAAATGTAAGAATGGCAGTAGAAATGAACATTACTTAATCACTGAATTCTTGTTAGGGCCACTCGTGTGTTGTTGCGCTGCCCAGCTTAATCCTGAAATGATATCACTGTTCTGGCAAACACCTGAACGGTCACAAACTTTAACGGCAATAAGATTACTATTTTTTGCTACACCATAAGTAGTTCCTAAAATAATTTCAACATTTAGTCATATTTTAAGAAATTTTTACAACAATATTTTACTGATCATTTTATTACCTCCAACCTATTAACATATTATTAGATTTAAATGTGTTAGAAAATAATAATAATAAGTATCTAATAGACTTATTATAACTTTGATCATTAGGATTTTAAATGTATAACATTGGGATTTACTAATATTACTTACAATTCCTGCGACGTTTGTTCCATGGCTTCAAAAAAAATTTTTTTAAAAATGTTAGATCATTTAAATTATTTGTTATGTGCAAAAATTAAATACATACCCATTATCATCCTTGTCTTGACAACCGCTACATTGAGTAGAACCCCATATTGCTCGTCCTCCAAATTCTTGATTAGCTATATAAATTCCTCTGTACGCAAAAAATGGTATTTAATGTACAAATAAATAATTATATATATTTATTAATTAGCGCGAAATTAATAACTTACGTGTCAATAATATAAACATTAACGCCGGAGCCAGAACTACTAGGATAACTATAGGCTCCATCTAAAGAATTGGTTTGTTGGTCAATACGATCCAAATTCTGAAAATTTGGATAAAATGTAAATAATATATTTTTTTTAATAGGTTATTTAATAAATATTAAAACTTTAAAACGCTAATTTAAAAAAGTCCACATACTGCAGGAGCAGAAGGAGAAGGACCTTCGACTGAGTAACCATTACAACTAGCTACTGAAGTTACGGTAGGACCTACGGTAGAAGTTACAGCAGAAGTGGTAGTGGCTCTACCACGAACGGGTCTTGGTCTTCTAGCAGCATCGGTAGAAGCAGAGTTATCAGTAGAGGTACTATCAGGTATATTGATAGCAACTTTTAGAGGATTAACTGAAATGTCCAAAAGAGGTCCCCGTCTGTTATTATGATTTCCGCGATTTCGAAGATAGTAAGGAGAAACAATAGTAAAGTTTGAATCGGGTTCGACACTTTGCACATCAGATTGTCGAGA